GATGATAATAAGTTAATGGTTAAAGAGATTGTCAATGAGGTATTGAAATATGATATGTAATTACCTTAAAATATCAGATTAACAAACTTTAAAATTAAATTTTAAATTATTTATAATTTATAGATTAAATTACAAAAAAAAGTTGATTTTCATCCAAATATTTCACGATTCTATGGAATTACAAAGATAGAATTTAGTAAGTATTAAAATATTATTACAGTACATATTATGCAAAAATTTAACGTGAATGGTTAATTTATACAATTATTTTAGATGTAATACATCAAATGAATTCATGCTTATTAGTTTTAGAATATGCTGATGATGATACACTAAATAATTATTTAAATCAATATTTTGGGAAACTTGATTGGAATGACAAATTTCAGCTAGCGTTGCAACTTGCAAGTGCCGTAGAATGTATGCATAATTGTGGAATTATTCATCACAATTTGGTAACGTTTTATATTTATATGCAGTTTATTTATTTATTTTATATTTAATAACATTGTGTTATTTTAATCGCAGCATGCAAATAATATACTTGTACATCAAAAAAATATCAAATTAGCAGACTTTGGATTATCAAGAAAAATCGCTGAAACTTCAAAAAGTGCAAAAAAATTTGGCGTAATACCTTATATAGATCCAAAATGTTTGGATTTTCAAAATAATAAGAGCTACATATTAAATAAAAAATCTGATGTTTATAGTGTTGGAGTTTTGATGTGACAAATTTTAAGTGGGTGTTAACCTTTTGATAGTTTAGATTATGATTGTGGTTTATCCTTAAGTATCATACGTGGAGCAAGAAAGGAAAAAATTGATGGTATCCCATTTGACTACGGTATGCTATATCAAAGTAAGTATTATAAATATTATTTAGTAATTTTTTTTTGTTATTAATTTATTTATTCATATTATTAGAATGTTGGAATGATGAGCCAGAAAAATATCCAAATATGAATGAGGTAGTTTTATTACACAAAAAATTGGTTTCACTCGAAAAATATAATGAAGTAACTGAGAAAAGTGTTGAAGACTATAACAAAGAAAGTATTTCATTTGTTAATAATTAATCCACCCTTAAATCTGATGAATCAAGTGAAAAATTTATAGATGATAACGATTTTATATTATTAGATGAATTCAACCAATTTAAGATTATAGAATCTGAATCTAAAAAACAATTCAAGTTTACAAAAACACAAATCTTTTCAATTAGAAGCAAAAAATAATCCATCCTTTCAAGTTGCAAGAAGTTCAATGGATTCATTGGAATCAATATAT